TTCAGTGAACGTCGAATCCTTCCCGCCATTAGCGAGCAAACAAACATCGACCATGTCCATATCGATAATGACGTCATCGACTACCAGCAGCAGCAGCAGTTACAACATCCTGACGGCAGCTGCAGACTACCTATCCTCATACTTTACAAACTTTCCATCCATTAATAGCCACGCGTTCACCACGACAACGTCGTCAGCCGCTACCACACCGACTTTCATACCGGCAACATCCCAACAACAACAAAGCAACACGTCATCGACAGCGACGACAACAACAACGACGACGACGATGGCGTCATCAACGGTAGCAGCAGCAGCAGCTTCTACGACGACAACGATAGTAACAACGACAACAATAAAGATAGACCCTATGTACAGTTTGACGCCCCTAGGCAGAGTTCCCCTTACGAAGCAGCAGTTATATCAGATGCAGATGCTGTCGTCTGCCTCCTTACACATGCCACACGCCATGGAGTCGCAACAAAATCGGTAGTTGTAGCTGTGGTGGTTGGAGTTGCTGTATGCTTGTATGGAGTCTGTGTAATTGTCCGCATTTGCAGTTATGCTTAGGAGTGTATATCTGTATTTGTTTTGGATGGATTTGAATTTTTTGTTTGTTTGTTCGTGCGTTTTTATGTATGTGTGTATTGTTATTATTATTAATTTTTTCTAAAGGTCAACGAACTTTCCAATGCCTTACAAGATGCCCTCATATTACGCCACGCTCCCGCCGAGCCTCTACAATCATCTAGACTTCTACCTCAAACTCAATCCAGAAACACTGTTCTTTATATTCTATTATATGGAGGTCTGTCTGTCTGTCTGTCTATCTGTCTGTCTGTCTGTTCCTCAGTCTTGTTTTTCTGATTGTTTGTTTGTATGTTTAACTGATCGTTTGTTTGTATGTCTACCTGCCCATTTATTTCCTTGTCTGATTGCTGATTTGTTTGCCTCTTTGACTGATTCTTTGTTGATCTGTTTGTCTCTTTTTTTCTGATGTTTGCTGATTCGTCTCTCTGGTTGTTCGTTTGCTTGCCTGTTTGTTGGTCTGCCTGTCTCCGATTAATTGTTCAACTGTTTATAATTTTGACAGGGAAGCAAAGCGCAGTATATGGCGGCGAAGGCGTTGAAGCAGCTGTCGTGGCGTTTTCACACGAGACATCTTATGTGGTTTCAGAGGAGAGACGAGCCGACACTCATCACCGAAGAATGCGAGCAGGTTCGTCTACGTCTGTCTGTCTGTTCCTTTTTGTCCATGTGTCTGTGCTTTGTCTGTCTGTATGTGTTCCTGTCTGTCTGTTTAATTGTTTTTTCTTATTTATTTTTTTTATTGTCCCAAAGGGTTCCTACATATACTTTGACTATGAAAAGTGGATGCAACGAAATGTCGACAACTTCACTTTCGAATATAAATATCTAGAAGATAAAGATTTGAGTTGATTTATTGGTTGATTGGTTGGTTGATTGATTGATTGGTTGATTGATTGGTTGGTTGGTTGATTGATTGATTGATTGATTGATTGATTGATTGATTGATTGATTATTATTTTTATAAAACTCACATTATTTTAAAGAGGGCCGATGTTATTATTTAAACTTTTTTAATATTTATTTTTCAACCAATCGATTGATTGATTGATGTACTGGCTGATTGATTGATTAGTTGATTGATTAGTTGATTGATTGATTGATTGATTGATTGATTGATTGATTGATTGATTGATTGATTGATTGATTGATTGATTGATTGATTGATTGATTGATTGATTGATTGATTGATTGATTGATTGATTGATCCGTTGTTTGATATATACTAATTCATTGATATTTTTATTGACAACTTTTTTGATAAATTATTATTATTACCCTTATTATAGAATGAAAACGCCTGTTTTAGATTATTATTATTATTATTTGTTATTTATTATTAATAATATTTTGTTGTTGTTGTTTTTCAGAAATATTTGAAATTATTGATATGGTATAGTCATTTTGCATATGCATTTATTTATTTATTCATTCAGTCATTCATTTGTTATTCCTATTTCTAATTTTCAAACTGCTAACATGCATCTATTTACATTGCTATTATTACTACCACTACTACTTAGTAATTAATGCTTTTTTTGGCTTAAGTATTAGTTTTTTAGTATATAAGTATTGCTTTGTTATGGGATTGCTTTTTCTATTGTGATTTTTATTTTCATTCTTTCTTTCATTCGTTCATTCATCTTTTCATCCATTTTTTCCTTCAATCGTTCATTTTATATATATATATATATAATATTATATATATATAAAATATATATATACTAAATAAATAATAGGACCAATGTTTATTTAACTAGTCTTTCTTTCTTCCCTTTCTCTCTCTCTCTCTCTCTCTCTCTCTCTCTCTCCCTCTTTTTCTCTCACTTACTATATAAACTTAAAAAACATACATACATACACGCACACACAAACATTCACACGTACGTGGAAACAAACATGCGTGCACACATACATACATGTACTTATTGAAATGTTAAAATACCCATTCACATGGTTACTTGAATGCTTCAGGACTTGGATTTCTATTGTTGAAATGATTCACTTGATACGATAATATTTCGTTGTTATTGTTGTTATTATTATTATTATTATTATTGTTTTCATTTTTACTACTACTATTACTGCCACGTAATAATACTTAGCGCATCAATCAATCATCTCAATTTATTAAGTATTAAATCGTATTTTCTCAACCAGCCAATCAATCAATCAATCATATAACCAATCATTTAATCTATCGTCATCTATTCAATTAATCAATCTTCCATTCATTTATTCAATTATTCAATCTTCCATTCATTTATTCAATTAATCAATCTTTCATTCGTTTATTAAGTCAATCGATCGATCAATCAATCAATCAGCCTGTTGTTATTTATAATTATCCAATAAGTTCAATAAGTTCTATGTATTAGTATGTATATACGGTGTTATGTGATATATATTTTTGTTCATATTCATATATATATATATATCATTGTATGTATGTTTGATTGTGTGTGTGTGTGTGTGTGTGTGTGTGTGTGTGTGTGTGTGTGTGTGTGTGTGTGTGTGTGTGTGTGTGTGTGTGTATCTTTTGTGTGTATTTTATTTTTCGAACACGTATTCTTGAGTTGATTCTTTTTATTTGTTAGCAATAATAATTATAATATAATAATAATTGTAATAATAATAATTATTATTATTGTTGTTAATATTATTTTTGTTGGTCTAGCTGGTATGAAAAAGTAAAAGATGTCAATTTTTTGTTAGTAAAATGTTGTGGTTTTCTGTTAGTCAATTGATAAAAACTCAATATACCTTTTCCTCTCTCTTTTTTTATCTATCTGTCTGTCTGTCTATTTATCTCTCTGTTTGCAAACTTATCTTCTTTCAATCACTCTCCGTTTCTCTTTCTCTTACTATCTTTCTTTCTCGATCCAATCTCTTTGGCTCTGATCTCTTTCTCTCAATCTTTTTGGTACTCTCTCTCTCTCCCTTTTGTACTCTCTTTCCTTCCTTTGTACTCTCTCTCTCTCCCTTTTTTATACTCTCTCTCTCTCTTTTCCTTTTTTTCTCGCTCCTCCCTTCAGTTCAGAGTTGTTGATATCAAACTAAAGAATGTAGGCCATATTAGGACAAAATTTTTGTCTCTTACGAATTCATATATAAGAATTTACATAATATGATTTGGATTTAAAAAAGATAATTTTTAACGTAACAGGTGTGTGTGTGTACACGTGTTTATGTGTGTGTGTGTGCGTGTATATAATAATTATTATATGTAAATGTCTGATGGGGTCGGTGAGGGCTGACCTTGAAAAATTTATATTGAATGCCGGCTTAAGCGAGAAGGCGGGACTTAAAGCGATCAATCAACTTAAATCCAATTTAGGTATGTTCTTGATAGCGTTCTATTAATGTCATTATTATTGAAATTATTACAATTGAAATTACAAATAATTATAATTATAACTTTTTGAGAAATACAACTTGTTGTATAACTTTTTCAGAGATATTAATGCTAGCCGCATCAGTATTGGAGATAATCGGCATTGCCGCCAAACAAATATGGCACCACGAGTATGACGTCATTAATTCAGACCAATCACAGGCCTCCATTCTAAAGATGACGTAATTGAATCCGACCAATCATGAGCCTCGATTTTAATAATGACAAAACTAAATTTAACAAATCGTTTGCTTCGTTTTTTGAATATGACGTATTTGAATCCAGCCAATAACGGGCCTCGATTTTGAATCTGACCCAAAGAATTTTGACCAACCACATGCTTTCAAATTGACCTAGTTTTTTTGAAAGGAATATAGCTTATTAATAATTTTTTTTATTTTTTAAAATACAAGTTTTTTTAAATCATCAAAATACCGTGAATACCGATTTGAAATATAAACTAAAATAGGCTGTATTGAATTGGTTTCAGTCGATAAATTCGAACAATCATTCATTCATTCATTCATTCATTCATTCATTCATTCATTCATTCAATCAATCGACCAACTAATCAACCAAATTGAATGAACCAAATAATCGATAGAATTATGGTAAATCGAATAAAAAGATATTTGATGAAGCGCAAACAAACATTCAACCGTACATATCTAGAAACAGTTTCGAAATTTTAATAAAAAAACGAAAAACACAACAGTTGCTTTTATTTGATATCATAAAATGGCGAAAAATTAAAATTTTAAAAAGTAAATTTTTAAAAAAACTTCGGATTTTAATCAAACAAATGTAACACCCCTCAGTAGTTCTCGGAGGATGATTCACGTAGCATGAACATTTAGTAAAAACAGTTCACAGCATATCATAATGACTAAATCAACATACCAAACAGAAACTATTTATACATGCATATATACAAAGTAAATCAAGAAATATCCAAAATTATATAACCAAAATAAAAAAAAAACTAGAAATCAGTCAACATTTTACAAATAAATAAATAGACATTATTAAAAAGATTGTTCAAAAAAGTAAAATTTAAGGCGACGACGAAACAAAAATATATGTATAGTGTTTTGTTGGTGTGGTTCTGTGAAGCGAAAACAAACAAACACACCACACAAAATTAGTAAGAAGTCGCAATAATAGTAGTCAGTCACCTACCTACAATTAAATTACTCTCAGGGCCCTAGCTTACCTATAATGATTAACTCAACTCACCTACCTACCTACCTACAAATTTGTGTTTCCACGTTTTAGGAATTTTACATGTTTCAGGCATTTTATTTTACATATTTTAGCGTTTTTATTTTATTTAAAACTTTTTAACTAATGTTAAACCCTAGCCCTAGCCTAGATTGTTCAACTCATCTCATTCCCTAACTTACCTATGAATTAAATTAAGTCCGGTAAAGAAAATAGAAAGTTGAAGAGAAACATAACAACAACGACACCGAATGAATGGATGTTGTGTATGTGTGTGTTGTATTGATGTGTGTGTGTGTGTGAATGTGCGCGCGTGTACTCTCCAGAAACTTCTTGACTCGCTACTGACGAACCTCCATTGCACCGACCATCATCTGACACGCACCGATGGAATAGTGAATTTGACCGGTTACTGAAAAACACTAAATTGAAAAAAAATTAATTTTTTAAAATAAAAAGCAAGACATTGGGAAAAATAGGCAAGATGACACTCAATCCTTTGTTTAAATTCGAGTACTTTCAATGGTACGATGGGACATAAAAAAATTTACCTTTAATATTATCTTCAAATTGTCATCGGAACGATCATCATGAGACCCCATCTGAAACGTGCTGACGCCCACCACAACCAACCTCTCATCATTCTGTAGACAAGTTTTTTTATTACCTTAGTAGTAAATCAAGGAACAAAGGAACGAACGAATAAATGATTAACTAAAAGATTAAATAATTAGTTAAAAGAATGAATGAATGGAATGAATTAACGTCAATTAATGGAAGAATAATTTGAAAGATTGAGTGAAAAAATTAATGAATGAGAAAAATAAAAAAAAAAGAAACTAAACCTTATTTCAAAAATCGTCGTTACTCTAATCCATTGCACCGACCACCACATTCAAGTCGGCACACATGATTTCATCCGAACTTCTGAGTGTCAGTTGAACAGCCAACGCGCTGATTCTTCCTACACTACCATCATCATACGTAAATCATCATGAGACCACCATCTGAAACGTGCTGACTCCCACCACTGCCCACCTCTCATCATCCTGTAGACAATTTTTTTTATTAGCGTAGTAGTAAATGAATGTTAGAATTTTAGAAGCAAAAAAGTATAAAGAAAAAATGATGGCAAATAAATAATATCTTAAAATAATAGAGTAAAATGTAAAAAAACTCACCGTCGTCCATTCGACAAAGGCAGAATGATGAATGCCTTCCGGTTCCTACGTTGTCCTCCAAAACTGGTGCCAGTCCTCCTCGAGATTGTTGTTGAAACACATCCCGTGGAATGGAGAAAGATAGAGAATATTCTCATCAGAAAGCTTAGCGGTGCTTGCATCTCAAATTGCTTAATAAAAATAATCCTATCTACCTATTTAATTACCTTAACTAATCTATATTAAATTGTTAATGGTACAATAGTCGAAAGCCCCCCTTCATTCTCCCTCCTTGCACAGAGGCTCACCGACAGCCAGGGCACCGGATAGTAAACCATTGCCGTGCGGATAGTAGACTATTGCCGTGCGGATAGTAAACCATTTGCCGTCCGGAAGCCGTGCGGGTAGTAGACTATGGCCATGCCGCATAGTAAATCATAACCGTGCAGATAGTAAACCATTGCCGTCCGGATAGTAAACCATTGCCGGTTCACCACTGGCC